ATTCATTCACTCAACAATTACATACTGAGCACTGTATGGCCAGGCCTGGGTTTAGGTGCTGAGATGTAATGGTGAAAATACCAGATCAAGCCCTGCCTTTGTGAACTCCTATTCTAGTGGGGGAACATGATGGTAAACAAATGAAGATGGAAATAATCTGACCCCTGCGAGAGTGATGGGCTCTGGGTCCCATGGTGTGGTCTGGGAGGACCTCTCCGAGGAGGCGGCATCTGAGCTTACGGACCCTAGGAAGCTGAATTTACAGATAAGGAAACTGAGGCTCAGGAAACTGAGGCTCAAAGGGGAAACTTCAGGCAGCTTGCACATGCCATGCAAGTTTGGGAAAGATGAGGTGGGAGGAGCAATCTCAGTGGAAAGGTGTCAGGTGGTCAGGCAGTGAATGCCACGGAGAAGTCATGGATCCTGAGGTGCTGAAATCTCAGCTCTCTACCTTCAGTCTGGAAGGCACCTCCGGGGTCTCCTGGAGGTCACAGCAGAGGAGAAAGTGCTCAGGCAGTGGAGTCGAAGAGACTTGGCTTCAGATCCTGGCCCTGGACCAACTTGCTGTGTGGCCTGAGACCACAGCTTCACCTCTCCCAGGCAGCATCTTCTCCCCTGTAGACTGAGAACAAAAAAACTCATGTCACAGGATCATTGACAAGGGTTGTGTGGGATCATGCGTGTCAAGTGCACGGTATATACTCGGTACTCAAGAAGTTCCAAGTCCAGCTCCCTAGTGGAACTCAGGTCCAGAGAGGGGAAATGACTTGCCCCAGACCACACAGCAAGTTGTGGCAGAGAGTAGGCAGAATTTGACCCAGTGTCCTTCTCACCCTTCCTGACAGCCAAGAGGCAGCTTCTTCAGTCGCCAGGTAGAGGGTCTTTAGGGCAGTTGTTGATGGGCAACAGGCCAGAGAGGAAGTTTCAAAGGAGAGAGGATGAGGGTCAGGCAAAGAGGCACCCCAATTTGATGTGTACCTGAGTTAGTACAAAATAAGTCATCCTGATATCAAATTCAGGCATTTATTTACTTTCAACTGCTGAGCGTGTTGGAGACACCCCGGAGGAGCAGAGCCATCTTCTGGGGTTGGGGGAGGTTGGAGAGATGGGGGGACTGGTCTGGAACGGTGACATATTGCTCCAGGACGACCCCCTTCTGCTGAGAAGCCCTCTGGCATTCCCAGACAGGCCCTCCCCTCCCCATTTGACAAATCCCACTTCCCAGCTGAGATCCAAGGGGCCTCCAAGATTAAAAACCTGGTCACCCACTGGTTATGGGGCAAATGGCTCCTATTACAAGAGGGCTCCAGGGGCCTGGGAACCCAGCAAGGGGTGGGCAGGCGCCTGCTGACACCGTCTTATCTTGGGCCAGGGCCATTCACTGCCCACATGGAGGTGGGGGCATGGGGGGCCCACCTGAGCTCCCTGCACCTCGGCAGTAATTACCCCTCTTTGGCTGGCCGCTGCCCAGACCACTCCATGGATGGGAATCTGGGTCCAGGCTGGACAGGGCCTGGCTTGCTGCTCAGGGGAATTAGGCCTGGGGGAGGGTGTTTGGGGGTGGATGTAGACTCCTAGCAGCCTATGGGAGAAGAAGTGAGATTCAAGGATGGAGTCCCTAGAAACAGGAGCTGACAGGCTGGGAAGGCTCTTGGGGTTTAATTCACACTTTTTAGCCAAGGGGCCTCCTCCCACGCCCTCAGAGGCCTTCTGAATATAACTTTAGACTCCTGGGTTCCTTAACTCATAACTTCTGTGATGGCAGGTGTATCTGGTACACTGAACAAGCACAGTTCCTAGTGTCATCAAAACGCAACTTTATTTTTGTCTCCCACCTTCCTTTAAATTTTCTTCAGTGAGAGTAATCTGTCCTGTTTCTGAATGAAAACTCCTGGAGGCCCATGTCTTTCTTGCCCATTGTTAGGTAAAAGAGAGTCCTGAATTCACTTTGTCACAAACACCGTCTCAGTACAGAGAAATTTCTGCGTTCTGTGCAATATTACTGTAGCAAGAATGGTCCCTTAGACTAATGACAACTAAAATAAGACAGTATCTACATTTGTATTCTGACACCATTCTCATTTACTCACTCAGTCTGCACACTCTGATCCTGGGTCCACTTGTGGTTGACGCTGGGAAAACTCCAGAGGTATAGAAGACAGCACGTCTGGATGTTCGAAGACCTGCGCTCAGACACCCATCTCACGATGACCAGAAGCTCAATGACACCCCGGATGAGGAGAAACCCATTTCTATCTCTGTTTAGGCAACAATCAGGAAGCACGGTGCTTTATAGTCTAGAGCACACTTCTAAAGACCCCATTGCTCTTAACCTTCAGCAGTACCCATTTTACTGGTGGGGAAACTGAGCCTCAGAGAGATAACTAATGTGCCTGCTAATGCTCAGTAAGTAAGTGGCAAAGTTTAGACTCTAGCCAAAGCCTTCTAGCCCCAACTTTGGAGCTTTCTGCTTCACCACCAGCCTCTCATGCATTTAGGGCCACGATGTGACTCTCTTTTGTTGCCTGTTTGGGAGAAGAGCGAGCCAGGGAATCTGCGCTCTGAGAACTAACCAGGGAGGAAGGGCAGGCAGGCTAAATCCTTCCCCGCGATCAGCGGAAAGTAGCCAGGGCTCAGACCGTCACTGAGGCCAGGGAAGCTAGAAAGTTAAAGCTTCTAATTCCAAAAATTTGAGAAAGCATATAAGCTCTCGAGTGCTTTGATATTATTGGGGAGAGGAAGAACGTAAGGAAAAAATAAGATTTGAAATTTTTAGAAAGAGTGAAAACGATTTGGAAGTTGAGGGGAACAGCACAATGGCTGCCCAGCTGCTGGCTCACATTCCTTCTCTCAGCCGCCCCAACATTAGGAGAGATTTTCTTTACCCAAGAGTTCAGAGAGAAGTCCCAGAACAGATCCTCATTGGCTCTGGTGGGTCATGTGTCCTTCACTAAACCAATCACTAGAGCTGGGGGATTCAGTGACCTGACTGGCCAGGCCTGGGTCACATGATTGGTCCCAGGTGAGGCAAGCTGGGGTCAGCTTCCCCTGAACTGCATGTAATGCAGGTAGAGAAAGGGCTGTTATCAGAAGAAGGGGGGAGGGGAAATGGGAAATCAGATAGGAAAGAGGGCTTTGTACGACAGAGTAAGGATTTCTACTTTATAAATTGGCAGTAGGAGCTGATAGATGCTTTTACTCGGAGAAAAGATATTATCGACATGGGATTCAGGGAGGTGAATCAGACAGCAATTACATTGTTACTACTCATGACTTTTAATCATTAGGTGTTAACTATACATACATAGTATCTCTTAATGTAAATTACTTAGCAATACAGCATAATGATTAAGAGAGCAAAACCTGGTTCTGTCACTTACCAATGACTTTGAGGAAGTTACTTCTCTATGCTTCATTTTCCTCATCTGCAAAATGTGTATAATAACAACAGCTGTTCCTAGCTTTGCTGTGCAGATTAAATTAATTTATACACATAGGTACTTAAAGCAGGGCTAGCTGGAGTGTTTGCTTCGGTTCCCAGGAGCCAGGAAACCTCAGGTGCTGGCTGCACCGACCTGACTAGGCTGGCCCAGCGGCAGCAGCAGCCTGAGCAGTGGCCGGCTTACCCGCTGCCCTCCGCAGCCTCCCTTGGCTGACAAACAGGAAGGGGGCAGGGCTGCCTGGGTGCCCCTGCCGCCCCCATGGCCCCGTGTCTGGCCCCAACCCTCGTCTCTACTCGAGGCTGCGGTGAACTTGGATGGTGCTATGCTCACCGCAAGCCACAGCCCGTCACAAATTGCCCTGTGGTGAGTAGCAAGCACATTTATAATTGATGAAATCAGGGGGCGAGAGCTCATTGCCGAGGTGTTTAGTAAACAAGACCCTGGGCCTTGGGGAGGAGGGTGGGGATGCTTGAGAGAAAACAAGGAATAGAATAAGGGGGGCCCCAGCTCCCCCTGAGGGTGCTTGAAAGGCCTCACCTGTCAGCTTTTGTTTTTATTATTCAACTGATTTTGAAAATTTTTAGTCTTATAGAAAAGTTGCAAGAATATTATAAACTCCCACACACCTATCACCTAAATTCACTCATTCTTAACATTTTGCCACATTTGCTTAAGTTCTTTCTTGCTATACATATGTATATCTAATATAATAATATAGACATTATTATTCTGTCTCTTATTTTGCTAACCCATTTGAGAGTATGTTGCAGAGATCGTGAACTTCCCCCTAAATATTTCACAGACATTCTCTTACATACCTATGGGAGAATGAGCAACATCAGGAAATTGAATATCAACACAATACTAGGATCGAATGTACAGTCCATTTTCGAATCCCACCGATTGTCCAATATCATCCTTTATAGCAACTTTTTTTTCAATTGAGCCTGACAAACTCTTCAATAGTCAGGGTCCCAGGGCATTGGCCCCCTGGGCCCCCCATCCCACCTCTGGCCAGGACTCTGTAGTCAGGTAGGAGGGATAAAGCTGTGGTCCCTGGATAGGGGGCTGAGTCCCACTGGCCTCTCCCGACCGCCTCCCACTACAGGAAGGGGTTGGTCGGGATGCACAGTAATATGATGAAAGGGTGACCCCTGACATCCAAAAATTAGGGTTCAAGGTCACAGTTTTACTTGGCAGGTCACTGACCTCGGGCAAGTCATCACCTCTCTGATCCTCAATTCCCTTATCTGTGAAATGGGAACATAAATCTACAAATGCAATGTGTGGTCCTGGATTGGAGCCTGGATCTGGGGAAATGCTCTAAAGGACATTATTGGGACAATTGGCCAAATTTTAATAGGAACAGTATATTAGATAATAGAATTGTATGCATGTTCAATTCCCAGAATTTGATAATTGCCCCAGGTTATATAAGAGAATGTCCTGTCCTTAGGAAACACATGCTGAGGGATTTAGGGTGAAGGGACAGGATGTCTGCAACTAGCTCTCACATGACTCAGGAAGAAAATGCGCATGTGTAAGAGAAGGGACGGATAAATACGGCAAAGTGTTAACTGCTGAACCCGGGTGTCGAGTATATGGGAGTTCTTTGTACAATTCTTACAACTTTTCAGTAAGTTTGAAATTACTTCAAAATGAAAAGTTAAAAAACTCTGCCTGTCTCAAAGCCCTTTGAAAAGATTGACCAAAAAAAAGTGAAGGCACTTTGGAGACCGGGAAAAGGCTCCCTTACTGCACGGGGGTGGCGTAAACTTTGAATAGATATAGTTGAGATCACGATAACAATAAAATCGGTATTAACATAGGGGTCCATGTCCCTTTCCTACCAGGGCTCTGATCCGAGTGGCTGGGTGAAAGTTGGGGTGAGGGGCCCCAAGGTCTGGGTAAGTCAGCCCCTCCTCTGCCTGACAGAGACTGAGGGGAATTGCGGGTCCCACAGGCCCAGCTGCTCTCGGAGGGTTCCTGGGTCTCCTATCACTCTGCCTTTCTCTTCCTGACCCAGGAGCCCGAAGTGGACTGTGCCTGGGGGGGCAGGGGGGGAGGGTATTGAGGAGACAGCCCTGCTACTCACCCACGTAGTGCCCTCTGAGGTACCCCTCACAGTCACAGGTCTCTGGGAACCAAACAGAGAGAGGGAGGCCAGTGAGCCACGCTGGACACACCCTGGCCCAGGGGTACCCGGCCCGGGATGGCCAGGCAGAGCCCTCGGGGATGGTGTCTCAGGGGAGCTTGGAAGAAATGCCATGTCCTGGCCCCCCCAGGAAAACAAATTCTTCTGTTTCACTCAGTTCTCTGTGCTTAGGCCCCAAACAGCCTTTCCAGACCCTGCCCCAGCCCCTGTGAGTTGGGATCCACGTGAATAAGGAGGGGAGATGCACTCCCCTGCTCCACTCTCCTGTCTCTTGCCTCCTACTTGGCCCACAGTCAGCCTGGCCCAGGTCCGGGGATGGCAGGGCCCAGCGTGCCAGGTCAGAAAACAAGGCCAAGCTTGGGATGACAAGTGGGGCCAGATGTAAGAGCTGGCTAAGTTTTAGGTGCCCTGGAAGTTTTTTCCAGAGGGTCCCAGGGGATGGGAGTTCAGGTGAGCAGAGGGAGGGGCACACAGGTTCTCGAAGCTACTAGGAGCCTGAGGGAGACAGGTGGCTCCCACACCTCCTGTTACAGCAGCAGATCCCTGGGCCCAGGCAGTTGGGGGCAGGAGATCTGTGTTAGGGAGACGGGGAGATAACCAACTTTCAGGCACAGGAGCTGGGACGGGAGGGACAGCCTCGTCATCTGCATGCTAAGTGGCTAGTTTGTATAGTCACTTAACAAGTGTTTACTGCACCTTCGCAATGTATAAGAACTATTCCAGGCACTGGGGATAAAGCTGGGCTACAGCCCCAGCCCTAGCCACATGGCGTTTATGTTCTATTGGGGGATGTAATCATTTGGATTATTGTTACGAAAATAGTCACTCCCCTACCGGCCCCACCCGCCCCCATGTACATTCACACATGTGTTATGGGGGAAGCATCCCCCCACTCCACTGATAGTAGACTTGGCCATGACGCTTCTTTGGCTCTAGAATGTCAGTGGCGTGTCATGAACACCATTATGTGTGCTGTGAGGTGCAGCCTGGCTTTTCAGTTCCTGCCATTCTCTGTGGGAAGCGCACGCCCCAGGAGCTGCTAGTCCAAGGAGAATGAAGAAATACTGGGAGCAGCCCTGCACCCGGGCCACAGCCTGGAGCTGTGCTGCCCTGGCTGACCCACAGACTCATAAATAAGAAAAATAAATGCTTGTTATTGAAAGCCCCTGAGTATTGGGGTGGCTTGTTACACAGCATTATTTCAGCAATTGCTGACTAAGATGGGCAGAGACAGAATCTAATCAAGCCAACCAATAAATGTCTGATGTCAGGTGGCGATGGGAACAGGAAGATGAGGGAAGCTGGAGGAGGGGAAGAGAGTGCGAGTGCTGTTGTAGATAGGGCGGCTGGGGAGTCTCTCCCACAAGGGAGCAGAGAGCTGAAGGAAGCCGAGAATGAGTCATGTGGTTATCTAGGGTAGGGAATTTCAGGCAAAGGAAACAGCAAGTGCAAAGGTCCCAAGGCAGGAACGAGCTTCGTGTAGGAGCAAGCCCGTGTGGCTGGAGCAGGAGCCAGCGGGGGACAGGGTGGGGGTGACAGACTGCTGAGAGAAGGGGCTGGGGCCAGATCCTTTGGGAAGGACGTAGAATTTGATTGGCATCATCTGGTATAACTTCTTCCTAGCTATCTGATAAAAGAGCCTGAGAACATGTGAAAAGGCAGAGTAGGGGTGAGGGTCACTGGCTGAGCCCCCTGATTTAGGATCTGTAAGGACAGGGCCAGGTCAGCTGCAGTCCCAGTGGGGCCCCAGGGCCTTTTCCCAGCCCTCATGCTCCTGCTTTTCCTTGAGGTTGTCCCCACCTTGTCTCCGTGACCCTTCCCTACCCTGACCCCCCTGCCACCTCCCCAACACCCCCACTGCCTTCTCTGCTCCCCACACTAACTGGACCTTCCCCAACACTAGCCCTTGGCTTTCTGTTCCCCCCAGTGAGCCCCGTCTCGACTCTGGAGGTGGGGATGACTCCCAGCTCTCCAGCCCCATTCTGTATCTGGGACTCTGGGCATTCCGTCACTAGTGCCCTGCTTGGACATGTCCCCTGGGGTGGCCTGTGGTCCTCTCACAGTGGACTTGGCTTAAACTGAGCCCATCACTGGGGGAGGGGCTCTCAGAGGACTGTCTGAGAACTAGAACTTCATAGACCCCTTCTGGAGCCCACTCAAGTTCACAGTCAGCACTGGCTGGGCCACCCGGCTCCATTTTCCTAAAATGCTGATTTCAAACTGTCACTCCCCAGCCCTGCCTTGGGTGGCTGCTCTTCCTCATGGGATGAAGGAAGCTTCCTGGGCCCGGCACTGAAGGGCTTCTCTGGTTGGGTCTTGGCTCGCCTGTGCTCCCCGGGTAACCCTCGTCTCCAGCCTAGATAGACGCCTCCCCACCCCCACCCCGGCCTCAAGTACACTTTGCATCTAGGTCTTTGCTTTGCCCTCTGCTGAGGGCCTACTGTGTGTGAGGCACTGTCCGTGGTGCTGGAGTGCAGAGGGGCACCCGGCAGACCCCTGTCCTCATGGAGCCTACAGTCCCCAGAGCCCCCTAGGGAGCTTCCACTGACCTTGCTGCACTTCTCCGTCCTGCCACTCCCTCAGGGCTGGGCCACTCGGGGCCTCAGCGACCAGTGCCTCTCTGCCCCTTGGCCTTTTGGCACTAAGCATATCTTGCCTTGTGTCTGATTATTCTTTTAGGTGAAGATTTCCTTTTTTTAATTCTAAAATAATACATACTCATTGTGGAAAGTAAGAAAAATACAGAAAAGAAAGAGGAAAAAAAATAACACAATCTGACTAAGAATATTTCAAGCTTCCCTTAAAAAAAGGTGTCTCCAGCTGCTCACCTTCCACACCCCTTCCTAGCAGAGGAGGGCAGCCTGACTTCCCCAGCGGCAGTCGAGGCCGGCACTGGGGAGGCCACAGCCCGTGCGGGAACTCCAAGAGAGCAGGTCACAGGGGAGAGCAGAGCCCTGAAAAGGCACCGGGCCCCCGGCTCCTCCCCCTCCCTGACCGTGTGCTGGTCCTCCCTGAGAAGCCGCGTTTCCCCAGGCCAGTGCGCATCGCCATTCTTGACCTCCCTTGTGGAGTCAGGGGGAGCAAAAAAGGCCGCAAAAACCCTCTGTAAACTGTAGCATCCGGCACAAATGTGAGGGTGTTTCTCTCCTGTGCAAGGCCCTGGTCTGTGTCCCGCGTCCCGGTCTGGGTACTGAGCCTCTGGAGGACAGGACTGCCTTTATTCCTACTTCTCCTCTGCACTGGGCAGGGTGGGAACACACACACATTTATTATGCACCTGCTGTGTGTTAGACACCCTGCCGGGGGCTCACACATATGGCTAGGAGAACCCTGGAGCTCAGATCCACCCTCCACACAGATGGCGAAGATCAAGCCTCACAAAGGTGACTTGACACTCCCAGGCAGTGACACAGCCAGCACTCAGTCCCTGAGGAAGGAGGGAGGGAGGGAATGAATGAGGTGAAATGGGGCAGCAATCCACACAATCCAGAGCTGACCTATGGTGAGTCTTAACCTTGACTCTGCTCAGTGCCATAGCAGCACCGCTGTCCCTCACGGGCTCTCAGGAACCTCCAGGGAGCACGGAGTCAGCCCCTTGGTGTGCAGGGTGTCAAGGGCAGACCCCAGGGCCCAGGTGTGGGCATGTGCTGGTGGGCCTCGCCAAGGGCTGCCCTGCTTTGCCACCCTGCTCCAGGAGCTCCAGCCTCTCCCCAGGGCACAGGACACCACTCCCAGCCACTCTCGCCCAATTTCTTACAGGCTGCTCTGGGATGGCAGCGTCCCAGCACTGCTATAAATAGCCTTTCTCCTGGGCCCCAGACAGCTAGTTGGCAAACACTGTAATTTGCTGAAAAGTTTGGAATGTGTCTAAAAATGAAGAAGGCAAATGAGACCAGCCTTGAGGGGGTGCAACTGGTTTATCCATTTCAGAGAGGGGCTGAGCCTCTCTCCTGCTCCTTGCCAATGTCTTTACGAGGGCGCTGCAGGCAAGGCTTTGGACAGAGGGAACAAATGTGAGTCTAGGAAGTAAATATTATCATTTCCACCGACAGGGCCACCTCCTGTATTGGCCTCACCCCTGACCTTCCTGTCCGAAGGAGGAGAGGCCATTGCTTAACCCTTTCTGGGACTGTTAGCTAAATTGAAGAGGCCCTGATGAGCACATACGGATGATGACAGCCAGCAGGAAACCCCCCACATAATTTCATCCAACTCCCCCAGGTTGCAAATGAGAAAGTCATTTGACAAAGTTGCAGCAGAACCAGATTTAGGCTGAGGGCCCTGGGCTCCCAGTTTGGTGCCAAGTCTTGGACTCATGGCCTCCTTCAAGGGGCCATCTCTCTTAGGGACCGAGGAAGGGTCCCATGGCTTTCTAATTACACTGAGCATTGACACCTGACAAATGGAGCTGCTTTTCTGATGTTCTGGTCTGCTCCTCACTTACACTCCCGGACACACAGCTGCTGATCTCCTCATGACCCCAGGACAGAGTCTCATCGTCACCCACAAGCCAGAGAAAGGCTGCAGTGGAACTCTCCACGCTGTCCCCAAGCCCAGATCGGGGCTTTCCCAACACCAAGCAGAACTCACTGCCTAAAAAGCCATCTTTTATTATTCTTTGTGCTGTGTTCTGGGGTTTTGATTTTTCCCTAAAGGAAGACTCAGAGCATTGAAAACAGTGGTAGACCAGGAATCAGAAATTCTGAGAGGGAGCCCCAGGTTCAGCACTATCTCACTCTGTGACCTTCGGCAAACCCCTTCCCTTCATGGAGCCTCAGTTTACCCATATGTGAAACTGTAATTGCAACAGAAGCTTCCATTTATGGAGGATATAACCACGTGCTTTACATGCGTTCATCTCTGTCATAACAACTATTTGCACAAGATATATTCTTGTCGAATTTTACAGATGAAGAAATTGAGGCAGAGAGACTAAATAACTTGTCCAAGACCACGTCATATTTTTTAAAGTTTGAAGCCGACTGCACCAGAGGTTCTGAGGTCCCTTTCAGCCCTAATAATTCTGCTTGGTGATTCCAAACACAATAGGAACTAGTAATAGCTCAGTTGGTAGCTCCCTGCTCTTGCCTGCTGAGAGCCTTTGTGTGAGGCAGGGGCAAGCAGAGAGCACGGACAGTTCACATCCCTGGAGAGGCTCTACACCGGGAAGGAGCCAGGATGCCACCGCCTTGGCCCATCAGCGAAGGCGGTCTCTCTCTCTCTGCCTCCCTCCAGATCCGCCCAGTGGGGAATTGTGGCTAAAAAGCGACATCTTGTGGCCAGTTTTAGAACTGCACCCCAGCGGAACTACTGGTTTACTTTCCAGGGCAGCTAGAGAAGACAATGGAGAATGCGGGGAAATATTATATTATAAATACTATAGACTTAGATGGTCATCTAAATTATTTGTAGAGTTTTTCAAACACACAGGCGCCAGGGCCTGACCCAAGACCTAGAGAACCAGAACCTCCAGGAGAGGGAGGTGGAAATCTGTGTTTTTTAGGCCCAAGTGATTCTGTTGCAGCCTAGCTGAGAACCCCAAGTATAGACGGCTTTTAAGGGGGTGCCAGAGTGCTGGTCAAAAGAACTCAGTTGCAGCGCCTCCAACTGGTGTTTCACTTCTGTCTGAGCTACCGGAACTTTCTAGGCAGCCAACAAAACTAAATCCATTAGGGATTATTTACAAAAGGATATCCAGCTGCACCTTAAATTTGATTTGTCTTTTATTAGGAAATAAAATGGCAGCTGGTAAAAGAAAATATTAATATAGAAATGGAATTGGTCATTTTAGATCAATGTCAGTGAAATTTAGTCCATGGGTAGTGGATACAGTAGTCTTTTTTTTTTTTTTCCTTTAATGCAATGGTTCTCAACTGGGGCCATTTTGGCCCCCACTGGATGTTTGGCAACATCTGAAGGCACTTTTTGGTTGTCACAAGAGGGGCATGCTACTGGCATCTAGTGAGCAGAGGCCAGGGATGCTGTTGAACATCCTACAATGCACAGGACGGCCCCCCACAACAAAGAATGATCTGGTCCATAATGTCAATACTGATGAGCTCAGAGCCCTGCCTTAATGAGCACAAAGGGCTCCCATCTTCAGGTCCCCAGAGGGTAGGGACTCTGACTCCTTCATCCTCCCCACCAGGATGGGTAGGTTCTCAGTACACACTGAACAACAGGAGTGCAGGGAGAGGTGCTTTGAGGAAAAATGTTTGATGTGGACACATTTGAAAACCTCCCCAACATACACATGGTTCTGGGTGCATTTCTACATGACACCAACTTCCTAAAGCTGAAAAATCTTGTTGTCCAGCTG